GTTAAAAAAAATTTTTTTATTAAATTGGCTAAGCCACAATGTCGATCATCCAAATTCGGGTTTGTCCACCATGCTGGTCATATCCAAGTGCAGGAGGGTCCGGAAGGAGGAAAATCTTGCTATAGCTGTTTAGAGATAGTTCTCATATGCTATCTGCTAACAAGTTAAGAGTTTATCATTTACCTTTCTAAATGCAATTTAGTGTAAAATTTTACTAGTCTAGAAGACTCGTACAAAGCCTAATAAAGTTAAAGCATGACTGCCGAATTTTTTTTTTTTAAAAAAAAAAAAAATTATAATAAACAATAATACTGTAATAATCTAGTTGTTATAACAGTTATATATATAGTCTCTAAGTTTATATGTATGAAAATAGCCTGGTCCCAAGTCAGAACTTATAAAATAAGTGTATGTTTTATATTCTATAAATGCAGGTTATTTTTCAAATTATATATAAATATTCTTTCTAAATACATTTTCAATATATTAACCAATCAAAATTTGAGAATATTTTTTAGATAATAAAAAAATTAAAATTTATATATTTTATTCCTTTTAATTATAATATAAACTAATAATATATAATAATATAATATTTTATAAAGGCAAAAATAAAATAGTAACCGTTGTATAGTGACCTCATATGATCGGCCAATTATTTTTCAGATTGGTAGTTATATAATAATTTTTTTTCACTGATCTAGATCATTTTTCATTTGATTTTTTAATTTTTTTTTTCTTTGTCACTGTTTCTGAAAGCTTTCACTAGTGTGATTTCATTGTTTTTGGTATATAAGTACCTTTTTTTATTTTTTATTGAATAGATTGTTTCGTGAATCTTTTAAAGTACAGTTTTATTATTGGAGGCTTTGTGCTAGTATGATTTTGTCAAAGCTTTATTTTTTTTATTTAAAAATTTTTTTTTCTTCAAAATTGATATTTTTGGTAATTTCATCATTTCAGTGTCATCACTATTGGAGCTTTTAAATTGTTGTTTTTTGTCACTTTTGGTGTTGTTGTTTCTGGTAGCTTTCATTGGCATGATTTCATCATTTTTGAACTTCCTGGTGTATAAATACTTTTCTTTTTTCTTTGTTGAATAAGTTGTTTTGTGGATCTTTTATAAATACGGGTTTGTTGTTGAAGGCTTTGTACTAATATGATTTTGCCAAAGCCTTTCTTATTTTTTTTTATTTATTCAAAATTTTTTTTCTTCAATATTGTCATTTTTGGTGTTTTCATTGCTTTTAGAGCTTTCAAATTGTTGTTTTTCATTGCTTTTGGTATTGTCATTTCTGGAAGTTTTCACTGGTGTGATTTTGTCATTTTTGGGCTTCCTGGCATAATTCATCGTCATTCCTGAAAGCTTTCACTAGTGTGATTTTGGTGTCTTGGTGTCGTCATTTTTGCTAATGTAATTTCATGGCTTTGGTGTTAAAGTTTTCATTAATATGATTTCATGTTATCTTCAACCTTGTTGAGTAGTTGTTTATTAGGTTTTGGTTATTAGTATATAGTTAGTGTATTAGCAATTAGTTTTTTTTTTATTCTTATTAAATAAAAGATGTTTAAGCATACGGATTTATGAGGTTATTATGATGTAAGTAATGTATATGGAATCCGATTTGAGTTAAATTTTATTAAGTGATATAATTGGCTAATAAAACTCAATCACGTGTATTATGTACTCATTTGAGCACATAAACACGTGAACGAATTTGATTGGTCAATCACAGGGTCACCATAAAATAACGCCCTTTTATAAAAATTATTATTATAAAAATAATAAATCTTTAAAAATTAATAACTTTTAATCTGGGGTAAGGACGGCCCAGTTATGATAGATTTCTGCTATATAAAATCAAATGAAGGAAACACTCTGGCAATTGCAGATAGTAATAATAGTGGCGGTACATTTGTATTAAAACAAGAAAACCCACGTAAAAGAAATCTTGAAAAACAAGATAATAATAGTAATAGTGGGGAAAATAATCCTGAAAAGGTGAAAGAGATACTACTTGAAAATGAGATAGGCACGATAAACTATGGCCTTGAGGAGCTAATTTCAAAAAGCTCGGAATATGGAGAAAGACGAGTAGATAAGAGACAAGCTAAAAAGCAAAAAAGTCAAGAAGATATATTTAACTCAGTTTGGGCTCCCAAAAAAGAAGCGGCCACACAGCAATACACAAATGAGCTTCCCATTTTACTCACAATCTGGGATCTCCCACGAAATATAAGTGGAAGAGACATCAAACTATACCTAGACCATTATGAGACAACATCTATTCTCGAATAGTGACAGACCCGGGGAGAAAAAAGAGCCGTATATATAAGGGTAGTGCTGAAAACAGAGAAAGGCAGCTACTCACTAAATAGATACTGGTCAGTACAATTAGAGCAGAGAAAAATGTACAGTATTACCCTGGGGAAATTTAACAAAGCCATGTTTGAAGAAAGAGACAAGTTTAGATGCACAATTAACAATATGCCAAAAACAGCATTTGATAGCTTATTACTGTGACAATTAAGAAGGTATAAAGTACAAGCAGCCCATATAATAAACAATAGCAATGGTAATCAAAGCATGAGAGCTTACATCTATTTTGAACGAGAAGAGGATATGATACGAGCCCAAAGATCAAGTATATACTATTTTAATAAAAAATTAGAGTGGCAACTATCAATAGCGGAGCAGGATAAGAGAAGCTATGCCAAAAACTGCCTCACAGAAAGATAGTGCAATCTCGAAATAGAAGATAGAGCAGACCAGCCCAATTAGAAGAAAACGAATACCCCCGAGGCAGAGAAACCTGAGAAAAGGAAAATAGAAATAGCTTTGATAGCAGCAAAAGAAAAAGAAAAGACTAGTAATAAAAGAAGAGCTATACAAAGCAAGGAGAGTAATAATACAAACTTAAATACCGAAAGGGTACTATTGATTAAAAAGGACCAAAATAAAAAAATATCCAGTCACCACACCAACAAGAAGAAAAGAAGTATCAAAGCAAGGAGGTGAAAGGAAAAGAGAAAGAAGACTCAATATTTAGCGCTTTGACACAAATATTA